CTTTATATCCCTCTCTCTCTCTCTCTCTCTCTCTCTCTCTCTCTCTCTCTCTCTCTCTCTCTCTCTCATAAATATCGTCTTCCTTTTGTTCATATACGACGTATACGCAAACACCCAAAAACAAAAGGAAAGAGAAGAAATGGTGTCTATAAGGGTCTCTTGCTCTCTACTAATACTTTTGATTTTGCAACTGCATGCACATGTCTCCAACAGCAAAGGTATATATGCGTATACATATGTCGGCTCTTATATTATATATGCATGTGTGAGTGTACGTACGGTCTGTGGTTGCAATATACACGAAACTATACTCACATTTTATTTATTTATTTTTCATTTTCTGCACAATAGAGATATTGCCACAAGCTACAAAGGGAGGAGAGCTTCAATCGGTTACTAGTACGATAAACCCCAACGAGGTGAACCTCTTTTTCGCTAACTTATCGTCTATATCCAATATATATAGAATTGTATCATACGCAAGAAATTTAAAAAAAAAATTGCTAATCTAAACAAATTTGTTTGGCAATAATTCGGATCCACGATCTTCGATGCAATAAACCCGCTAAGATCCCTTTTCTTTTTTTCGGTTAACCAGAAGAATGTGGGCAATGGAATGCGAAACCGGAAAATGTTGAAAGGAGAGAAGAAGGATGTGGAAGCAGAAACTACAGAGGAACTGGTGAGGGGAGAAGAAAGAAACGAAGAGAATGAGCTCAAAACGGCGAGTTTAACGGCCGATTACTCAGACCCTCTTCATCATCCTCCCAGGCATAATTAATAAGCGAGAATGTAAGAAAGCCTCTGTCTTGTCTAGAGGCTTCCCCCCCCTCAAAACAATATGGATATTTATATTCTATTATTATTTTGCACAAAGGGTTTGTGAGTCGTAGTGAAGTAGAACATCGGCCTGTTTTTTTAACTATTGTTTTGTACGTATCGGACAGAAACTGAACATGAATGTTTCACTTCACGTTTCTTTGTATAACCCTAAAAACGAAATAATTAATAAATTAATTATCGGCGTATATGATCATATTATGTTATGAATTTTTAAATATCATATATATATATATATAGGATACCGTGTCTCATGAGTAAAGCGAACTAACGGAGACGGGCCAAGAGTAACAACGAGGCATGAGTAAGAAAAGGCCCAAATCAAATAACCCAATCGAATATGGGCCCAAACAGAAGCGTAGAAGAAATGAATGGGCCTAAATGGACCAACAGAATAAAAGAGAGAAATGTGCTCAAGCCCATTTTAATAAGAAGAAATGCCTTTTTTTCTAAAATAAGAAAAAAGAAAATGAGATTTCTAGCAAATTTCGCAGTTTGCGTTCGCTAAAAATTTACTGTATATATATATGTAAACTAGTCATAGGGTTTATTTCAATGAAATCGAGTTCAACTTTCGAGCGCTTTTTATTTAAAAAAAAATTTGTTACATTCAATCCTGAATTACAAAATTTGAACGCATAAATAATTAAGAGTATATATAAAACATTTTTTAGTATATACATGTTTTAAGCCATAAAGGTTATATAAACAAGAAACAAACTTCGCATGAGTTATGATTCAATGAGGAGTCATGGGTGTTTCAGATACACGTGTTGTGCGCATGACATTTTAAAGTACGCACGTACAATTAAGTCATCTATAATAATCTACGTAATTACCACGCATAATTATTATTATTTTTTTTTTTTGCAGATTTCGGTTTGTACGATGAGTCGATTTTGCACAAAGGGACTTTGTTATTTTGCTCCATTTTAATATAATTCGTAATTTATATATACGACAAATGGGTGGTTTGTGTACGCGACCAAAACGTTGTAATAATTTTAAACTGTAAGTATCATATATGGAGTTAATTATCAAAGTATGCTATTGTCGAATTAAGTAAATTCAGATTGAAATCATGAGCGTGAGTTAAAAAAAACGAACTGTCCGTAACATATAAAATGGAATTTTCATTTTTTTTGCAAAAAAATGTTACAAGATATAAGCGAATTCTTTTTTTGTTTTAAAAAGCTTGTTGGATAGTAAACGGATTTGCCCTTGAAATTTTGAGATTTGAACTAGAAGTAATTTTTATATATTTGGTCTCTCTCTCTCTCTCTCTCTATGTATATATATATATATATATACACGTAGTTTTTTGTGATCGTTTTGATTTTACACATGAACCAAAAAAAAAAAAAAAAAAAAACAGGGAGAGAAAGAGAGGAAATTAATGGAGGCTGCAAGAGCTTCTTGCGTTCTACTTATACTATTCATTCTGCGACTCCATGCAGAAAGCTATGCAAACTATAATAGCAAAGATACACATATAAACACACAACGTACAGAGAGATGTTAATGCAATTTACATATGCATGTATATATATATATACTTGAAAAAAATACACCTTTCATCTCTCTCTCTCTCTCTATATATATATATATAAGTAGTACCATTTTTTTTTTGCAGCCATGGAAATAGTAGTGAAGCAAGCTGCATACAGACGAGGTCATGAAGTAACTGCTCGGGCACCTAATAAAGCCAGCATGGTGAATTTCATTTTTAACCCGTTTTACTTTTTTTTTTTTTTTTTCAAATAACAAACCCTAGATAGAACTCCATGCACTGATCATTTATATATTTCGCATCACGTATATAGAAAGATATCGAAACGTATGCATATATATATATATATATATAGGTTTTTGGGTTTTAGATATATAGTTGTTGTTCATCGTGTATTTTTTTTAATCACCACGTGATATATCTTAGTATTTTTCATGTTTTTTGAGATTTTAGGAAATGCGAAATCTTGTGATGGATGAAGTGGAGCCACCGAACAATGAGAAGAAGTCGAAAACTTCGAGTTTAACGTCTGATTACGCCGGACCCACTCATCATCCTCCAAGGCACAACTAATTACCTATGCCCTTCAAAATAATTGAATCTCTTGTTTCATATATCAAGCTTAATTATTAATTACACATGTTTATAATGTTAATATACATGTGTTTGTTGTTTCTGTTATCTCTGTTCTTTCTATATCCATATCCGATAGATACTTAGTGTGAATATATACATACTGCATACAAATATGGCTATAGTTTTACACTTCTAAAGAAGCTATAGGATCGCCTCTTTGTTTTACTTTCCTCTGTTTCGAATGTGAAAAAGAGTATTGTTTAACTGTATTTACAGATACATTTTACCGTTATAGATAAAGCTATTAGAAATTTTCTCATAGTTTTTATATTAATCTTCATATATAATATATATATATATACATGTTCCATGCACGTGTGCATGTGTGAATAGAAAAAACACGATCCGTTATTAGCTTAGTCCTCTTTTCAGCCGAAGCGTGACCCAAACAAAAAAGGCCCACTCTATAAGCACATGCCCGTATTTATTTTACCATAACCACTCGACGACAAACAAATGTGATTTGGCAACTTGGGCATGGTGCGAATTGGAATTCCACCTTTATAGATATTTTTTTTATATAAATATTTGGTGGGAATTTGGACTAACCAAAATGGTAAACGTTACAAAAACTAATTATTTTGGCAACATGCAATATGGGTGTGGACCTCCCACGGAGCAGTGGTCCTTCTTCTCCTCTCTAAGTGATCTCAGCGTGTCTCATAAAAACGGCTCATGATCAAAGGCGACAATTATATCTATACGTACACACACATGCATACACCCCGCCTATACGCACACTTATACTCGACATATTTGATCGGCTATGGAACCGATTCTATAGCTTAATATATCGAAATAAATGTGTCCATATCACATATTTATCTTAGTGTAATTCACACAGCAATGGCAATGGCGCTTGGGTCAAATCTGTTTTGGTTGGTATTGCTAACGGAATTGGTTTGAATCTGTGCTTTCATTCTGTTGCACAATTTTGACAGAATTCCCGCTTATTTGTTGTTACGAATGTTTGTTACCTTTTTGAATTTTTAGGCTCTCCAACTTGTATATATATGAGTGTACAGTGCATTTTATAAAATAAGAAATCAGGAAATATTTTTTTTATCTCGTTTTCTCTCTCCATCTCACTGTTGTTGAAATGGTATCAGAGCTCTAGAAGCTTCTTTTGCGTTTCTGGGTTTCTTCTTTCCGATCGTTTTTCTTTTGATTTCTTTCCTCTGTGTTCATGGCGGAGGATTCTTCTTCTCCGTCTATTTTGGCTGATTCAGCTACTCTGATTTCTTCGGACACAGTGTCTTCTCGAATTTCTGCTCGAGATCCTTATTCTGACCCTCTTTTTCTTCACGCTGCTGATTCTTCGAGCGTATCTTTGGTTTCGCACAAGCTCTCAGGTGAATCCAACTATGGCGCTTGGTCTCGTTCGGTTCGCCAAGCTCTAATTGCTAAGAATAAACTTGGATTTATTCTTGGTACTCAGCCACAACCTTCGGACGATCATCCTGACTATGGGTCTTGGTTGCGCTGTAATGCAATGGTATGTACTTGGTTGAATAATTCTGTTGATCAGGATATTCAAACCTTGATTTCTTACTTGGAGGATGCTCGAGAGATTTGGGTGCATTTGGAAACTAGTTACAAACAACAAAATGTTTCTAAAATTTTTAGTATACAGCAGAAAATTGATAATCTGCATCAAGGGTCTTTGGATGTTAACACGTATTTCACTAAGCTGAATGCTATGTGGGAGGAGCTCAAACATTTTGAACCTATTCCTATTTGCAATTGCGGTGGTTGTAAATGTGGTGGTTGCAAGTGTCGTATTGATCAGCAGTGGATGGAGTTATTTGAGCGCAGAAATGTTGTAAGGTTCCTGATGCGTCTCAATGAGTCGTATACTGCAGCTCGGCGTCAAATTTTGATGATGGATCCGCTTCCATCCATGAACAAAGCTTATAATCTTGTGACTCAAGAGGAGCAGCAACGTCTCAATGTTTCCCCAGCTCCTGAGGCTGTTGCATTCCAGACATCGACTCAAATACCTCGTTCTACTGGGAGTAATTCCTTTACCCCGCGGCCTCAGAATTCTGGTATGGCTTCTCACCCTGCTCCTCAGTCTAAGCCTCGTCCAACCTGTACGCATTGTGGTATGCTTGGTCATACCATCAATCGATGTTTTCGTCTTCATGGTTATCCTCCTGGTCATAAGGCTTCTTCCAACTGGAATTCAAGGAACTCACACTCTTCGAAGCAGAAATTTTCTGTGTTTGAAAAATTTCAGCCTCATGTGAATATGGTTGGTGCTCATAAGGACGGAGTTGATTTTACCAATACTCCCAAGGCTCCTGGGGATGGTTCTTCAGGTCAGAGTCTTTTGGAACAAGCTCAGTCTCTAATGGTGCAGTTTCTTTCCCAACAAAAGGGTCAAGGTTCTCTCTCTACTGATTCGAATTTTGCTGCTGTTCAACCTCCTTCACCAGGTACCATATCACCATCCCATTCTGTTCTTTCATCATTTCAGCCTTGCTTTGAATTTCCATCTGTTATATGGATTCTTGATACTGGTGCAAGTTCTCATGTGTGTTGTGATTTGACATTGTTTTCTGAGATCCATGACATTCCAACTGTTTCTGTCTCCTTGCCTAATCATTTGTCTATTCCTGTTTCTAAGGCTGGTACTGTTGTTCTTTCTTCCCAGATTACTCTTTCCTGTGTCTTGTTCATTCCTTCTTTTCATTATAATTTGTTGAGTGTCAGTTGTTTAACTTCCTCACTTCCTTGTTCTGTGGTTTTTTCTCCTACTTCTTATATCATTCAGGATCTTACTCAGGGCTTGATGATTGGCAAGGGTAGTCAACGTCACAATCTTTATGTCTTTGAGATGCAGAGTTCTTCCTCCTCTACTTATGCGTTTTCTCTTCCTCTCTGCACTGCTTTATCTGCAACTTCATTTGATACATGGCATCATCGTCTTGGTCACCCATCCAATCTCAAAATCAGTTCTCTAGGACATTCTTCTCAGATTTTATTTGAGTCTACACCAGATTTGTCTTCCTTATGTCCTGTATGCCCTTTGGCAAAACAAAAGAAATTACCATTTCCTGTTTCTCGTCACAAGTCTGTTTTTCCTTTTGAGTTGATACATATAGACATTTGGGGACCTTTTCATGCTGAAACTGTTGATGGACACAAGTATTTTCTTTCCATTGTTGATGATTTTTCTCGTTGTACTTGGGTATATCTGCTGAAATCAAAGAGTGATGTTCTTACAAAGTTTCCTCAGTTTCTTTCTTTTATTCAAACACAGTTTAATGCTCAGGTTAAATGTGTTCGTTCTGACAATGCTCCAGAGCTTTCTTTCACTGATTTGTTTCTCCGAAAAGGCATTGATCACCAGTTTTCTTGTCCTTATACTCCACAGCAGAATTCTATTGTTGAGAGAAAACATCAACATATTTTAAATGTTGCTCGTTCTCTTTTGTTTCAGTCCAACATTCCTTTGTCATATTGGGGGGATTGTGTTCTTACTTCTGTCTATCTCATTAATCGTTTGCCTTCTCCTGTTCTTGGCAATAAATCTCCTTTTGAAGTGCTTACTAAACAGAAACCTCAATATTCTCATCTTCGGGTTTTTGGATGTCTATGTTTTGTATCAACTCACCTCAAGGACAGACATAAATTCAGTCCTCGTTCTAGTCAAGCTGTGTTTTTAGGTTATCCTCATGGTGTCAAGGGTTACAAAGTCTTGGATTTAAATTCCAATGCAGTATTGGTGTCTCGGAATGTCACATTTCATGAGTCTTCTTTTCCATTTAAAACAACGTCTCTGTCTTCTTCTGCATTGGATTTCTTTCCAACCTCTGTTTCTCCATTTTTCTTTGATTCTTCTGTGTCAGTTCCTGCATCTTCTTCTTCTTCTGTCCAGCCTTCTATCTCTTCTCCTCCTATGGAAACAGTTGTGAATGAGCAGTTGGACACAGAATGTAATATCAGACCTCAACGATCACGTAGAACACCAGCATATCTTTCTGATTATCATTGCTCTCTTTTACAGACATCCCCTGTTTCTTCTTCTCCTCTTGTTACCTCACATCCTCTTTCTTCTGTTTTGAGTTATGCTTCTCTTTCTTCTCCATATAAACATTTTGCTTTATCCATTACCACTGAACCTGAACCACAAACTTACACCCAAGCAGCAAAATTTGAAACTTGGAGGGAGGCTATGAAACTTGAATTGGGTGCTCTAGCTAGAACTAAGACTTGGACCATTTGTTCTCTGCCTGATGGTAAGCATCCCATAGGATGTAAATGGGTCTTTAAGACCAAGTACAATGCTGATGGTTCGGTTGAAAGACATAAGGCACGTTTGGTTGCAAAAGGATATACTCAATTGGAGGGGATTGATTATTTGGAGACCTTTAGTCCAGTAGCTAAACTTACTACCGTTCGGACTATGCTGGCTTTGGCTGCCAGGTTTGGTTGGTCTCTTTGTCATATGGATGTTAGTAATGCCTTTTTGAATGGTGACTTGCATGAGGAGATCTACATGAGGTTGCCACCAGGTTATGCAGATCTTCAGGGGGAGTGTATACCTTCAGATTCTGTTTGCAAGCTTCAAAAGTCCTTGTATGGTTTGAAGCAAGCTTCCCGGCAATGGAATTCTAAAATTTCTGATGTTCTTACTTCTGCTGGATACATCCAAGCTCAGTCTGACAATTCGATGTTTTTTAAGAGGCAGAACACTGACATTGTGGTTGTTCTTCTGTATGTTGATGACCTTCTCATTACAGGGAACAATTCCATGTTGGTCACTGATCTCAAGTCTACTTTGAGTACAGCCTTTCAGATCAAGGATCTCGGACCTCTTCATTACTTCTTGGGGCTTGAGGTTGCTCGATCTCACAATGGTATTTACATCTGTCAACGTAAGTATACATTGGAATTATTGGAAGATTTTGGTATGCTAGGCTGCAAACCTATTTCAACTCCTATGGACATTAAGGAAAAACTTGGACAAGATTCAGGAGATCTTCTCCCTGACCCCTTGGAATATCGGAAGCTCATAGGAAAACTGATTTATTTGTCTCTCACCAGACCTGATATCTGTTTCCCTGTGACAAAATTGAGCCAATACATGTCTGCTCCTCGTACTCAACATTTGCATGCTGCCTTTCGCGTTTTGCGGTATTTGAAGAATGCTCCTGCTCAAGGTCTTTTCTATTCAGCTAAGTCTGAACTTCGTTTGAGTGCCTATGCTGATTCTGATTGGGCGAGTTGTCCAGATTCTCGCCGATCT